CAGGGGGCAGACTCAGGACCAGACCTGGACGCCGCAGCAAACACCTGACCCGACGTAACTACCCTACCAGACTCAGCAACTGGAGGAGACGCAGTGGTCAGAGTGTACAGGCTCGACCCCGGCTGACGGGTGAACGTAGCCAGGTGTCGGCCTGTGCCAGCCTCTGTACAGTGGGTCACTCGCTGACGTGCAGGAGTGAACTGGTGGACACCCGCATCCTGTAGGTCAGCACCACTCACCAGGTTCGTCGAGAACGAGGGGATGTAGAGACCAGACAGGGTGCCAGAGGGAGCCGCCGGACACGGGAGGACTGTGGAGAAACGAGACAGGACCGGACCCCCAGAGGGGTCAGCCAGAGACACCGCAACCGGCCGACTAAGCGGCGTGAGTGTGGTGCGGTCCCGAAAGAAGGAGCGAGACGCCCCAGAGTCAAGAGTGAAGGTGAGGGAGGCCGAAGCCGACGCGGTACCTGAGAGAGCAGACTCACCAGTACCTGAGGACGCAGACACACCAGCACCTAGAGCAGCAGCGTCGTAAGCACCTAGGGCAGCAGCCTCACCAGTACCTAGAGCAGCAGTCTCAATGCCCGGATCGGGCTGGAAACACCGGTAACAGTCACCCTCATCACTAATAGACACAGCATACATGGCAGAGAGAATAGCATCAAAGTCCAGATCAAAGATGGCAACCCCCGCCCTAGACAGCTCGTCCCAGCGAGGGATCTCGGAGGCCTCCGGGAACTGGTGACGCCATGCGTCCGTCAGGCGGCCAAAGCAGCGCGGAGTGGGGTGCGCACCCCCACACTGCTCACCCGCACGGTCGCCGGTGCGCAGGACGTAGGTACACGGACCAAAACCCCCACCCCGCTGGCGTGCAGTGTACCACTCATGGAGCTGCTGAGGGGACAGGGTCGCACGACCACGCTGCTGCTGCTGGCGCGAGCCACCACCGGAGCCACTCCTCTGCAAAGACCCGCGACCAGCTCCACCGCCACCCCCACCGCCTCCACCGCCTCCGCTGCCTCCACTGCCGCCGCCGCCTCCACCGCCTCCTCCACCGCCGCCTCCTCCGCCACCTCCGCTACCACCGCCACCGCCGCCGCGGCCTCCGCCTCCACTGCCGCCACCGAACCCCCCACCCCCACCTCCACCTCCACCGCTACCCCCACTCCCCCCACTGCCTCCACCTCCACCTCCACCGCCCGCTCCTCCAGCTCCCTTGCCCCCCTTGCCCTTGCCAGGGCGGCGTCTCCCGCTAGGGGCAGACGCCGCACCGACCGACTCAAGACCAAGGAGGTCGGCCGAAGCAGCAGAGGCAACAGAGGGCAGCAGGGGGGAGGGAGAACACCCCTCAAAGATGGGGGTGCGCGGGTCACCTCGAGAGGCTCCTACAGCGACTATGCTCTTTTCTATCGCGAGGAGGGCCTTCTCGAGGAGGTCTACAGTGAGTGTGGTGGGACAGACTGAGAGAAAGTGGTCCCTGACTACTCGAAGGGAGTCAGGGAGGCGAGTGACTAGGAAGTACAGAGTGATGTACATGGGGGGGGGGGTTCGCGGTGCAGAAGTCAGCAGGAAGTGCAGCGCGGTAGCGAGTGTCACTAGTGCGGAGGTGCGTAATGAGGTCAGCAACGGTGGGAAAAGAAGCAAGGTCAGGGAAGAGGTACGGCAGCATGAGATGGCTCAGTGCAGCAGTGGAAGGGGAGGAGTAGCGCGCGACTACAGCGGCGTACAAGGTCTGAGCACTCTTGTACTGACTAAAGTGCGCACGCTCGGAGGTAGGGAGGTGGCGACGCACAGCAAGACGTGCAGCAGCATCGCGCGTGGCCCACTGGGAGCGAACAGTGGCGTCAGCATCAGCAGCAGGGGCAGGGGAAGCGCCAGAGGTGAGGTCAAAGAGAGAGAGGCCGTCCGCCCTATCGCACTGTAAGAACAGCTGTAGGTCATCTACCCAGACCTCAAAGTCAATGGCCCGACCCTCAGCGTCAAAAGTGAGGACACTAGGGGTAGCCATGACAGCAGTAGACCAGCAGTGCAAGGAGTAGGGGAAGAGCACGCAGTGACAGAGGGTCTGTGCTCACCGGACAGGGCTGCTCGGGCGGCTCGGCTGCAGGGCGGCTCGGCCGCTGGGCGGCTCGGCGGCTGGGCGGCTGGGCGGCTGGGCGGCTCGGCAGCTGGGCGGCTCGGCGGCTGGGCGGTCGGCTGCACGGCTGCAGTGCGGCTCGGCGGCGGGGCGGCTCGGCTGCTCTGCTGCTGGGCGGCTCGGCTGCGCTGCTGTTGGGCGGCTCGGCTGGGCCGCTGATGTAGGGCGGCGGGGCCGCTGTAGAGGAGTGGCGGGGCCGCTGCAGAAGGACGGCGGGGCCGCTGGGTAGTGAGGCGGCGGGGCCGCGAAGACGGGCGGCGGGGCCGCTGCAGAGAAGCGGCGGGGCCGCAGTGAAGGGCGGCGGGGCCGCAACGAGAGAGGCGGCGGGGCCGCAGCGAGAGAAGCGGCGGGGCCGCGAAGTCGGGCGGCAGGGCCGCTGAGTAGGGCGGCGGGGCCGCAGTGAGAGGCGGCGGGGCCGCAGCGAGAGAGGCGGCGGGGCCGCGAAGACGGGCGGCGGGGCCGCTGAGATGGGCGGCGGGGCCGCAGTGAGTGGCGGCGGGGCCGCAGCGAGAGATGGCGGCGGGGCCGCGAAGACGGGCGGCGGGGCCGCAACGAGAGAGGCGGCGGGGCCGCAGAAAAGGGCGGCGACGGGCCGTAGGCGGCGCGAAGCCGCAGGTAAGGGCGGCGACGGGCCGGGGCGGCTCGAAGCCGCGGGTAGAGGCGGCGCGAAGCCGCGGGAAGGGCGGCGACGGGCCTGGGCGGCGCGAAGCCGCAGGTAGGGGCGGCGCGAAGCCGCCGGTGAGGGCGGCGCAAAGCCGCGGGTAAGGGCGGCGACGGGCCGGGAAAAGGGCGGCGCGCCGCAGCCGCTAGGGCGGCTCGACGCGACCGTAAGGGCGGCGCGACGGGCCGCTAGGTGCGACTCGACGGGCCGCTAAAAAAAAAAAAAAAAGGCAGGCGCGACTCGAGGCGCGCTTCGGTGGGCCCAAGGAACAGTCCCTAGGAGGGGACCTGCTCTGATTCCATGTGAAAATGAGAACGAGAATGGATGGACTATGAAATGAAGTGAGTACAAATATGAAACCCTAATTGGTTGTACCCCCTATGGGATACCCCACTATAGCCTACACAACAGCATAAGCCACAATGTTCTGACAGATCGGTTCCCGAGGACGATGTCCGTAGTAGGACCCCGGTCTCGGTCGGCGTAGAATGTCGATTTTCTCGGCGAGCGCGAGAATCTCGTTGAAGTTTGAGAGTCCGCGCAGCATGATTTCGTGCGAGATATCCGGCTTCAGCCCTCCGACGTAACGGTCCACCCGCTCCGCTTCGTGCATGTAGCCGACCTGCTCGCAAAGTGCGAGAAAACCGCTCGTGTAATCTTGAACCGACCCGAGCTGCCGCCAAGTGCGCAATCTCTGACGCGCCAAAATAGAAGCCGCGATCGGCTCGAAGCGCGCCCGAAGCCCTGCGCACCACGCATCCCACGTGCTGTATTGGGCGGTCTCGCAGAATGAACTCCAGGTGACAGCTGGACCCGTGGGCCCTTCCTCTTGCGACAGTGGCTCGTAGGCGCGTGGCGACGATGACTCGCCACCAGTCCATGGCGGGGCCCCTTAACAGCGAAACGGCATACCGAATCTTCGCTGCGTCCGACTCGACGTAATTCGCGTCGAAGAAGACGTTCATCGTGAAAACCCACGATTGAACCGTCGGACCTCCACGCTGGCTCGGGTCGAAGCAGGGCGGGCGTTGCGGCTTGAGTGGCATTGGTGCCATGATGGCCTGTTCGCCACTTGTCGCCGCGAACTCCACGTGCCGACGGGCTTCGCGAGGCTCCCGCGGGCTTGGTGCGACCCTGTTTCCTCCCATGCCAGGCATCGGCTGGGCGGCGCCATCGCTGGCTGCGCCTGAGCGCTGTCCCACGCTGTTGTTTTGTGTTGGTGTGCCGGACGAGATGACGATCGGCTCGTCTGATTGTGCAGATGCATTTGTCGGTGCGTGTGGTGGCGCTGGAGTGTTCATCGTTGATTGCTGACGCGCGGAGTCACGTTCCGCCGTGAGCGTCGCAATTTCGAGCGCCGAATCTTCGAGTTGGCGCACCAGACGGTCGAGCTGCTCCTGCGTCAATGTGGCGAGTGTGAATTCGGCCATGGCGGGGGTGTCGGGCGAGCTCAGCGAGAGCCTCAGTCGTAGCCGTGCGTGCTTACGAGAGAGCACTACGAGCGGCGGTGCTTGTGTCGCTGAGAGACGTCCACCCCCCCCAAAATTGAGATAGTGGGGAAGCGAAGGTGTGGGTGCGGTCCGAGAGGAGATCGTAGGCTCTGAATACCAAGTGTTACGAGTGCAATTGAGTGAACGAACGAGAATTGCACTATCGAAGCAAGAGTACAATGAGCGAAGGCATGAGCGAAGAATATATAGCGAAACTACAGTGGTAACGGTAATGGACTGTGGTTGACGCGCGACAGGCCTGGGACTGAGGTTGGGAAAAAGTGTCGAAGCGGAGGCCCGGAGCGCGGGTTACCCGCCGAGCCGTGAGGTCGGGGTGCGATGTGCGAAGGTGGCGGGCAGATTGTCGATGCGAGGGTTGCGAGTGGTAACGGTGCTGACTGTGGTGCTAGAGTGATGTACGCGTTGAGCAGGGATGCGAAGTAAGGAAAAGGAACTGTGCGATCACAATCAACCTTTCCAGACGATACACCAGCAGCAACTTTCGCCCGTGGCCGAAACTATCCATACGTGAGCAGCTACTAGCGAATGTGTTCACCCCGACCAAGTCGCTGACGACGTGAACCCGTGTCGACAGCGCAATCCCCCTTTTTTGCGATGAATTCTCTCCGGATTTTGCGGCCGCAGATTGCGCTGATTGCTGTGCTGCTAATCTCCCCGGTACTCAGAGCCCCGCCACTGCTGTTCGAAGGATGGGGAGTTGGAAGGGACGTGCGCGGATGGGGGAGCAGCGGAAGGATGCGGGGTCCCGCAGAGGGCGGATCGAAGGGCGGGTGGGGCGTGGGGACGGCTGCGGCGGGAGCGACGATGGCGGCGGAGTGCCTGGAGGTGGGGCGGCGACTGCAGCAGGCCATGTGGGACATCGAGCAGCGGTGAGCAGCGAGCAGGGAGCGGTGAGAGCAGCGGTGAGAGCAGCGGTGAGAGCAGCGGTGAGAGCAGCGGTGAGCGGAGCGGTGAGAGCGGCGGTGAGAGTGGCGAGTGGGGGAGAGAAGGGATGGGATGGCAGAACAAGGTAAGGCGAGGGGGTGGACGCAGGAAAGAGTGCAAGCATGGAACGACGGCGATGTTGGAAAGTCAGAGGAGCGACGGGCAGGAGTGCAGCACTGCACCGCTCTCTTTTCCCTTCGATTCCTCCCCCACCAGCGCCTCCAACCCTTTACCCTTTGGTTCCGCTGTGCCCCTCTGCTGCTCGGCCTTGCACCCCGCATTTCGTCAAAAACGATTCTTGAGGCGCCTGAGAATCCTCCCACTGCATCGCTTTCTGCTGCTGCTGCCAGGGCGGCTGCTTACGTCATAGTTTGTCACCCTCCTCTCCTCCCCCTCCCCACCTCCCCGCCGTCGCCCCCACCCACCCCCTGCCACCAGCTACGGCGTGGACGTGGTGCAGCAGAGTGCAGTAAACCAAACCCTCGGGCCTCCCTCCCGCTGCATCACTTTCTGCTGCTGCCGCTGCCAGGGAGGCGCTCACCTAGGCCCCCACCTCCTCCCCCTCCCCACGTCCCCCCCGTCGTCTCCCCCCTCCCCCCGCCATCCCCGCGTCGTCGACCCGCCGCTACACGGCTTCGTGGTGGTGGTGGCAGGGAGGCTGACCATGGCCTATCTTCCCCTCCTCCCCATCCCCGCCTCCCCACTGTCGCCCCCACCCCAACCCCCCTTCTTCCCTGCTGCCAGCTGTGGCGTGGAAGTGGTGCAGAAGAGGAGCGCACTGCTTCCTGGTGCTGCTGGCGAAGCTGCTGGCGGGCAGGACACTCACCTGTGTCCCCACCGCGCCACTGTTGCCCCCACCACCCCGGCCCCCCTTCTCTCCCCCAGCTACGGCGTGGACGTGGTGCAGAGGAGCTTCGCGTTCGACCCGCCGCTGCACCGCTTCCTGGTGCTGCTGGCGAAGCTGCTGGCGGGGCGGGCGCTCACGGTGGTGGCGGTGGGCGGCTCCATCTCCGCCGCGGGCCACCTGCCGGGCGGCGTCATGCACGGCACCGGCACGTATGGCCAGGCACTCGTTGATTGGCTGCAGCAGGTGCGTGTGTGGTTGTGGGATGGGCAAGAGGAGGAGGGCCGCGGGCCACCTGCGAGGCGGCGTCATGCACGGCACGGGAACATATGGCCAGGCGCTTGTGGACTGGCTGCAGCAGGTGCGCTTGTGGACTGGCTGCAGCAGGTGCGCTTGTGGACTGGCTGCAGCAGGTGCGCTTGTGGACTGGCTGCAGCAGGTGCGCTTGTGGACTGGCTGCAGCAGGTGCGCTTGTGGACTGGCTGCAGCAGGTGCGTGGTTGTTGTGGGATGGGCGAAAGAGGAGGGGGATGGGGGAGGGTAGGGGAGAGTCTGGAGTATGTGAGGAGAGGGTTCTAGGAGAGAGGAAGACGATTGTGCTGAGCGAGGAGGAATCGAAACTGGAGGGTGACAGAGATGAGAGGTTTCTAGCAGCGCAAGAAAGCACGAGTGCATGCATGGTGAAAAGAAGCTGAACTCTAGAAAACAAGGGGCTGCTTTGACCACAAGTCGTTTGGTTGAGCTTGTCACCCGTAAGGTCCAATCGCTGTGTTAGGGGTCTCGGATCAATTTGGGTTCAATTGCCAACCCAGCACACAAATCTACACTTTTATGCTTCAACCTAGCAGGCAATCTATACTCTTACACTGTGTTGGCATGCTGAATATAAAAAAAAGGGTTTAACTAAAGGAGCCTCTCCTGAAGAACTAGCCAAACCCTTTCATGCTGTTGATTAGGAAGATATGTTTTGTAAAAGTAGTTTTTGTTTGTTGATGTCTTGTTGCCCAGCACTGTCGGGGTACAATGAAATGGTATGAGTTCACCAGTGAGCCATCAAGGGTTGCATGGTTACAAACGAGATGAAAAGGATCCACTGCCCACAAGGCAAGCATCAGCAAAATGCGATGCCTGGTTTGGCCCTTGACGATCCAATCCGGTTTGTCGGTGCCCGAACCAGACCTCTTTGTTTGACCTTGCTCTCGTTTCTTCATTCGTCGGTGCCCGAACTGGTCCCATCCCATCTCTCCCCATCTTTCACAGGTGTTCCCGACACCGCCCTCAACCCCTCCGCACCGTCTCATCCGGGCCTTCCTGCCCGGGGCGGGGTCATTCGTGCTGCACTTCTGCACGGGGGAGCTGGTGGGGGCGCTGTGGGCGGACGGGGACGAGCAGCGGCGCGCAGCGGGGGAGGCGGACATAGTGCTGCTGGAGTGCGCCGCCAATGACTGGTCCGTGCTGCAGCCCGGCATGACCCCGCCCCCAGGTAGGCCGAATGGCGGGGCAAATGCCGCGGCGGAAGGCACTGTGGTGGGATGTTGAGGCGGAATCAGGGCAGCACTTTCGTTTTTGAAGGCACGGAAGGCTCGGGGTTGTCCTGAGAAAAGACCCTGAATAATCTGCGTTCCCTCGAACGTTTCCCTTCCGCGTCCGTGTGTTTTCTCCAAAATCCGAAAATGCACAACTGCAGTTCATCACCGTAGGCACAAGAGGCTCTGAAACGTCCAAGTTGGTTGGGCAAGGACTAACAGACCTAACACTTGCATCATGTCTTAACTAGTACCGAGCTAAATTCTCAGGATTGCTTTCGAAACAATACTGAAGTTCCAGAATGCTCGGCCACATCATCCGGAAATGGTCCGGATGATTTCTAGACCAATCCAGATGAATCAGGGTTCACCGACAAAACATACGGAATGTACCTGAGTTTCAGGATGTTTACCCTGATACCGAGAGCCCTGGGTGGAATGGCATGGTGGAATGGCATGGTGGGATGGCATGGTGGGATGGCATGGTGGGATGGCATGGTGGGATGGCATGGTGGGATGGCATGGTGGGATGGCATGGTGGGATGGCATGGTGGGATGGCATGGTGGGATGGCATGGTGGGATGGCATGGTGGGATGGCATGGTGGGATGGCATGGTGGGATGGCATGGTGGGATGGCATGGTGGGATGGCATGGTGGGATGGCATGGTGGGATGGCATGGTGGGATGGCATGGTGGGGTGGCATGGTGGGATGGCATGGTGGGATGGCATGGTGGGATGGCATGGTGGGTGGCATGGTGGGATGGCATGGTGGGATGGCATGGTGGGATGGCATGGTGGGATGGCATGGTGGGATGGCATGGTGGGATGGCATGGTGGGATGGCATGGTGGGATGGCATGGTGGGATGGCATGGTGGGATGGCATGGTGGGATGGCATGGTGGGGTGGCATGGTGGGATGGCATGGTGGGATGGCATGGTGGGATGGCATGGTGGGATGGCATGGTGGGATGGCATGGTGGGGTGGCATGGTGGGATGGCATGGTGGGATGGCATGGTGGGATGGCATGGTGGGGTGGCATGGTGGGATGGCATGGTCGGATGGCATGGTGGGATGGCATGGTGGGATGGCATGGTGGGATGGCATGGTGGGATGGCATGGTGGGATGGTATGGTTGGCATGATTTTTGTGGAGCGAACTGCATGGGCTGGGTGGCGCTCTATACACCCCCCGCACACTTTCCTTCCATGCCATTCCATTCCTTCAAGAAAAGGTCGGTGATGCATACAATAGTGAGGGGCACTCAGGTGAGTGAAACGTCTTCACCTGAGTGCCCTATTTCAAGTTGGCTGCCTCCTTACCTCACCCTCACGTTGCTTTCTTGTATTCTGTGTTTACTTCCTTCCCACCATTCAACATACTCTTTCACCCCCTTGCATTCACCACACTCCTACTAATCTCTTTTCTCCATCTCCCCTCTGTCCCCCTCTCCCTTCCCCCCACCAGAGGGCACACAGTACGCAGCAGCGGAGGGTCTGGTGCGTCAGGTGCTACTGCTGCCATCGCACCCGCTGGTACTCTTCCTCAACTTCGGGGTCTTCCATCCACACCACCCGCTGCTCTCCGCCTTCCACCACTCCGCCGAGGCGCTGCTCAACCACCTCTCAGCCTACTACAGCGTCCCCGCTGTCAGCCCCTGGCGAGCCTACTTCCCCCTCCTTGCCACCGCAGCGTCCCCAACCTGCCCCGCCTCGGACGAACCTTCTTCCGAGCCTGCCGCCAAGCCTTGCGTGCTGTCCCCGCCGTCATCTGAGCCTGCGGAGAACCTGACGTGGGAGCACATGTTTGTGGACCGCGTGCATCCCTCGGCTGCCGGCCACGGCATGGCAGGCAGCCTGGCGGCCCACCGCATCTTCTCCCTCGCCCTGCACTACCTGCGCCGTGAGGGCCTCGCTGTCTCCCGCCACCACCTGCGCCTCGACTGGGTGGATGGCAAGGCGGCCCCCTCCACCCAGTCCGCGCTCCTCTGCCCGCCCACCTCCCTCTGCCGCAAGTGCTTCGGTGACCTGGGCTTCTCGGCCCTCGGCCCGCCACTCTCGGCGCCCTGCATGCTGCCGCCGTTGCAGAGCGCGGCCGACCCGCACCCACGCTGTGTGCTGGGCAACACCTGGAACGTCACGGCCGTGGGCGCAGTAGAGATCCCCGAGGGGTACACGGCTGTTAGAGAGGCTGCTTCTAAAGGGGATGCGGCGAGTGTAAAGAGGATTGCGGAGGCGAATGCGACATGGGTGCAGGAGGCGTGTGGACCGCTGGTGCCGCAGATCCTGTGCTGGAAGGCCCAGGCTGCCCGCGCTCCTCTGCGTGTGGCTGTGGATGTGCGGGGGGCTGCACGGGGCATAGGCGTGGTGTACAAGATGCTGGACTGGCAGAAGCAGGAGCACAAGATGGACGGTGCAGATGTAAAGGTGAATGGCCGGGATGTGGGGTTTTTACAGGTGCCTGTGGTGGGGAATACTCTCACACACTGGAGGCTCAATAGTAGCCTGATTCGTTTAGAAGATGGGGACGTGCGTGAGGGGTATGTTTTATTGACTATTGTGCCGCGTACAAAATGGTTTCACATGGTGGCGGTGGTGGTTGAATAAGTACTGGGTTCACATACGGTAGTAGTTTCACTACTGATGTTCAACCACCCCTCCCTGGGTCCCAACAACCCTCATCACCAGAATTCCTAGAACATTACGCACACAACTTTATGTGCTAACAGGACGCAGTTCAGTTGGCATGGCAACAATTAGGAGGATTCAGAACGTATGTACCTTATGCGGTTAAGCTCTCAACCCAATCGCTAGGACTCCAAAACGCTGTTAACACCTTTAACTGTTTTCACATACAGTACTTTTCACACATTACTCATAAATAACAAAAGAATGGAAGAAAGAAAGAAGACGAGCATGCGACCGCCCATGACATCATGCAGATGGTGTTGCGGAAAGAATAGGTGATCCAAACGATGCGCCCTCACTGAAGGTCCGCTTGTGCACGCTGCGCCTAGGCGTCACCACAAATAGAGGACGTGTCTTTCTCCCTCCTCTTCTCCCTTGCAGTTCCCCCCTTCCAGAAGCTTCCGACCCACTCGAAAGTTGAGCTGTCTCAACACGGGTGCGGATCTGGTCGGAGCTCGCGCTCTTTACAGGAAGCCGGGAAGGAGAGTTCCTGGAAGGCCTGAAAGACAATGATAATGCTGCAGCAGTCATCGCAGCACCAGCAGCCGTTGCAGCACGGGCAGCAGCAGCAGCAGCCGCATCTGCTGGGGCCGTTGCTCCCTGACTAGACTCAGCAGCTTCACCAGCGATCCTATCAAAAACACTCCCTGCCCGCCTCACCATGGGCTCGTAACTGCCCCCTTTTGGTAGTGTAGGTGTCCCCCCAGATGTATGACTGGCAGCGGCAGGTGAGGTGTTTGGGTCAACGTTCCAAGACACGCGCTTGCTGGGTGTTGGCCATGCTGCGGTGGTGCTGGCAGATTTCAAGATGGACCGGCGCGCACACGGGGAGGCAAATCTTGGAGAAACCGCGGTGGTGCTGGCTGACTTGAAGGTGGAGGGGCGAGCAAAAATGGGGTTGAATGTTGGAGAGGAAGCGGTGGAGGAGGCACTACCACCTGATTGTATGCTGGAATGGCGAGTAGAGGGGGATGGAGGCGCGGTGGTGGAGTGAGAGAGAGTGAGAGGAGGGGATTGGGATGAAGGAGTGAGAGGAGGGGATAGGGGCAAGGGAGTGAGAGGGGATTGAGATGAGGGAGGGAGAGGAGGGGATTGAGATGGAGTGAAGGGAGGGGATTGAGATGGAGTGAAGGGAGGGGATTGAGTTGAGAAAGTGGGATGAGGGGATCGAGATGAGTGAGTGAGAGGAGGGGATCGAGATGAGGGAGTGAGAGGAGGGGATCGAGATGAGGGAGTGAGAGGAGGGGATCGAGGAGGCAGGTGTAACTTTAGAGTCAACCCAGAAGGAGAGTGGGAGGGGCTGAGAAGAGGGGAATGAGCTGGGCGTGTAAAAGGCCGTGCTACACTTCTTGCCACAGATTCTGCCACAGCATGCTTGTTTGCAGCAACAACAGCAGCTGTAGCCGCAACCCCCGTAACTTGCGACTTTACAGCTTCCGCCGCTGCTGCTGCTGCTGCTGCAACCTTGGCAGCAGACCCCGCAAGCCGACCAGCAGTCTCAGAGCTGTGATGCCAGTCTTTGTTCTTAATCATCAAAGTAAAGTCGAGGCTATGCCTGTGCCTGTGCTTGCTTGCTTCTCTCCTTACAACACCGTCCTTCACTCCGCCTCCTCCCTCTTCTTGTCCCCCTTCTTCTCGTTTTCCTCCTCCTCTTCCTTCTTCATTCCCTCTCAGCCTACCAGCAGAGACCAGCCCCGGAAGCCCATAGCTCTCTTGAGGAGCAATCAGCCTCCACACGCCCATGGCACTGATGTCCGTATCAGATCTGCTTTGGCAGGTTAGATACGCCGCCCGGCTGGAGCATGCAGCCTTAGACGGCAACGAAGCTGCCTTATACGAGGCCGAATGTGAGGGAGAAGACGAGGGAGAGGAAGAGGGAGAAGAAGGAGAGGACGAGAAGGACCAAGAGAGAGCCGGCAGAGCACTGGAAGAAGAGTGGCATGACAATACAGGGCTGCGCACAAGCTTATTCTGTCGCTCCTGCTGCTGTAGCTGCTGCTGCTGGTTCCCAGGCAGGTGCGAGCCGCCATGGTGGTTCTCGGGCAGGTGAGAGCTGCCATGGCCTTTTTCGGGCAGGTGCGAGCGGCCACGGTGATGATTCTCCAGGCGCTTGAGAGCAGGTCGGCGCAGAGTGGGGCAGAAGATTCGCCACGTGCTGTGTGCATGCAGCACTGCTTGCACCGCTTCCCGCACTTGCTCCCTCTGCTCTGCTACTTCCTCCCCTTCCTCTGCCTCCCGGGCTTGACTTGCTGCTTTCTCCACTTGCTCCCTTTCATCTGCTTCCCTTGCCGACTTTCCCCATTTCTCCTCCGGTTCCTCCACTCCTCTCTTCTCGCGTTCAGACTTTGAATGTCGACCGTTGATTCTTGAGATCCTTCTCAGCGATGCTCCTCCGCTTCCGCCGCCACACGCCCCTCTCTCCTCGCTCTGAGTTGTCGAGTACTGAAGTCCGGATTGACTTCTGCACGCCTCTCTGTTGGCTGCTTCTGCGGGTGAGGCCGATGGGGAGGCGTCAAAGAAGAGATTGGGGGAGCGACCTGCGGGACGAGGGAGAGAGGCGAGAGGGCGAGGAGACGGGGAGAGAGCGGAGTGGGGGAGAAAGTGGTGGGGGAAAGGGAGGGAAGGCGGAGGGGGAAGGAGAGTCGATGCGAGGCGAGCGAAGGGGAAGGGGGAGGGGAAGGGGGGAAGGGAAGGTGGAGGGGTTTGAGATTTTGTACTTGTTGCAAGGGTTTTCACTTTGCGCCCACGTCTTCTTGTGTCTTCTCCAATCATCAAGTAGACAAGATCGCACATAGGAACAAGACTTATTTATGGATGGCAAGGATGGAGCAAGGAGAGTACGGAAGGATCTATGAGCGAGAAAGAGAAGCAAAGGGCGGAATGCAGGAGCGAGGAGATATTCAACGGGCAAGGGAGGTGAGTGACGGGGGAGGGTACTAGGGGAGTAGGAGAGCAGCAGGACTGGCACGCGAAGGGAGAAGGGTGAAAGAGGATAGCTTGGAGAGGGGATGGTTGAAAGGAACCAGATTGGCGGCATGATAGTACCTGGTCCCGCTATTTCGCGAAAGGACTCCGACTTTTTCGCCCACTCGCGAACGCGATCCAACAAATCGCGCATGGAATGTTTCAGCTGCCCGCTCGTCACCAGCTCGTCGTCCGCTGCGATGGTTACGATCCTCCACGAAATCGGCATGCTGTTTCGCCCAGATCCCCGCAGTCGCAGGGGCATCGCCAGCAGCGGAAAAACGTCGTACACGTCGCCAGGATCGTGCGCTTGCGACCCGATCTCCAGCGCCTCCAGCGGCGCGTTGTCGCACGCCGTTATGAGCGACTCTGTGAGTTCATTATCCCGCGACTCGCCCTGGCGGACGTCCGAACCGCCAGAATCGCCTTTCGCATCGCAGCAGGAGAACATCGACATGCATCGCGACGCGAGCACGCACGTCTGCGGCAGGATACCCAGATTCCACGGCGAAGCTTGTAGGAGCGCCGACAACGGCGACGAAGTTTCCGGCGACTCGGACGGCGACGGCTGCAGTTTGGTAAGACTGCCGTCTAGGGCCATCACGACCATCCGCTTCTCCAACAGGAAAAGAGGGTCATCGCGGCGCCGAAGCTTTCGGCTCCCGCCGCAATCGACGGAAGGGGATTTGGCGGAGCGGCAGACGAAGGAGAAAGCGGAGGTGTTGAAGGGGGAAACGCTGGGGTGGCGCGGCGGGGAGGAGGAGCCGTTGGGGGGAGAAGCGGGAGGCGGAATGAGGAGGATGTCGTGCCAGATGGAAGACACGTGGCCGGCGTTGATTAACGGGAGAAGGCTGGTGGACGATCCGACGGTCCGAGTTCGCACCATGATGGTGTAGCTAGTACCACTACTATCAGTTCCAGTGAGGCGACCTCGGAGGTCTGTCGTAGTGAATAACTCGAGTGATGCGATGATTATGCGGTTGAAAATAGTAAGGCGTCACAGGAGCAGGCGAGCTCAAATATGATGGACCATGGAGGATTCGCGCTAGGCTTCTTCTCATTCTCAGAGGCTTCTGAGAATGAAACATAGTCGCAGCGTCGCGTTGAATGACAACCAAACGACAGATTCATCCCCCAGTGAGTGGTGAACCACGCTGCGAGCAGCACTGCTGGCCTTGGTCCCTCGGCAAACCCGCATGCAGTCCGAACACGACGACGTTGATCGTCTAATCCACATCAGAATCTTTCGTTATTCGTCTCGTGTCTGGCCCTCCCGCAAAGCAACACACGCCGCGCGACCCGGCCTGAGGAGCCATGAGATCAGCCAACGGAAACTTACCACCACACTCGGCAGCGTTAGGCACCTCAGGCGGCCTGTGCGACTGGCAACTCGTGTATGTACGCAGGCTACAGTGTTAGCGAGTTGTGGTGGTGGTCCTAAAGATTGTTGTGCGGAAACATCATGGCCTGCTCAAATCAGTTGCTAGTCATAACTAATGTCTTGGAAGGCGACTCGGGCGTTGAAGGTCTAAGCAGGTACGGTTGTGTAGTTTTGTAGCTCGGGAAAATGGGCAGGTTTGGAACATCGGGATTTTGAGTCGTCTTGCGGCTCCGAACCAGATGACCAAACTGAAACCGAACCAACTGATGAACGTCCCTGGTGATCTGTTCTGCTGCAACAAGGACGCCCAAACCAAGGCTCGGCTAGGCTCTCACGAACATAACCAGCCAAAGTGGTCCCAGGCAGCCAACCTTTTCCTGCCGCCCAGCCTAAGGAGATTGTATAACTCGGTAAGGCAAGATTCGCCTTTCGACGGCATTAGAATCCATAGATACTCCAATACATACAGAAGTAGCTAGTGGTGCTGTTCCAAGCGCAGGTGTACCTGCCGCCAAAGCAGATCTGGCAGAAGATTCTGAAGCTGTTTCACAATTCACGTCGAAGGGGTATGCAGACATGGAGAGGCATTTCATTCTCTGGAGCAAGGAACTGGCCCACCTGGGAAGGAAAGACGGGGGGCTAGGAGTTATTCACCCGACGGAGAGATTTAACAGCCAGACGCTATGGAACCTGGGCTCGGTTGCTGGAAGGGAACCCGATGAAGCAGTGGCTGCTGGAGGAAGCAGCGAACATGCCCTTGGGGTGGGCAACGTTGCAGACGCACAAGGCGATTATGTTAGAATCTAGCCTAAACTAGTAGCCATATGTGACTAGAGTAGAGAGAAGAAGTGTCGATTAGGTAAGGGGGGGGGGGGTACAAGAGTGTTGAGAAACGTGGCGTGCCCTCTAAGGATAACCCCTACATAGCCTAGAAAGATAGAAAGCATATAATGTTTTGACAGATTCTTGCAAAGTGGACGTATGGGAGCGCGCGTTGGAGGTCACTGGTGCCGTTCATGTGGGATAAGCAGCTGCCGGAGCCGGCAAACAGGTGGGAGATGGAGAAAGAACACAAGTGGTTCAGCAGTTACTACCGAGGAAGCAGCCCTTTCGACAGGCAAAAAGGGTCAGAATGCCTAAGAGGGATGACGTTGGGGGATCTGATTCAGCAAGAGTATGGCGGAAGCTGGAAAGTGAAAGATACGTGGATGCTGACTAAGTAGACGGGGTGATCGTCTACTGCAAGGTGGGCGCTCCTGGCTTGGGAGGCGGTGCTGGAAGGCTGGAAAGCGAAGCTATTAACGAAGGTGACGGCGGCGGATATCTCGGAGGCCACTACTCTGGTCAGGGTGGGGCAGGCGGTTGCGGGGAGGCAGAACTATCTGCAGATGGCGCTGAGGAATAACGAGGAGCTGAGGTGTGAGAAGGTAAATGTTGATAGTGAGGGGACTACTCGGCAGTCGGGGGAGGAGGTCCAATAGCCGGCATCGCTGGGGCTTCTAACGCCGATGGTGGTTCGGAGAGGGTGTGTATTGGGGCAGGCGGGGGACCTGGTGGCTCGGCTGTGGGCGTCCTTTGTGTGCGATGAAGGGAAACCTACGGTACAGAAAAAACTGCGACACTTGCTCAGGAGGCCAGTCACACAGCCCAAGCAGCAGAAAGCATGGGAGGAGGTGATGGGCAGGTGGTTGCGGACAGCAAGGCGGGCAACTGCATCACGCATGAGCCACTTAGATAGATCCTCTACAGCGTCGGCAGCAGGGGCTTGGAGCTTTCCCTCAGTGTGTAAAAACAGGGAAACGTCATCCTTAGACTCGCTCTGCAGGAACAGCTGGAGATCGTCGAGCCAGACATCAAAGGTAATCGCGCGGCCCTCAGCATCGAACGTAAGAATTGACAGGTTAGCCATAGCAGCAGTAGCAGTGGCAGCAGTAGCAGCTGTAGCGAGTGCAGTATTAGCAGCAGCAGTAGTAGCACTAGCTGTAGCAGCAGTAGTTGCAGCAGTAGCAGCAGTGACAGCTCGGGTCGGGCGGCACGGCTCGGACAGGTGGCAGAGCAGCAGCGGCAAGCAGCAGCAGCAGCCGGCGCTCAGTAGCAGCAGCAGCAACAGCTAGGAGGAGCAGCAGCAGCAAGGAGGAGCAACTGCAGCAAGTAGCAGCAGCAGCAAGGAGGAGCAGCTGCAGCAAGTAGCAGCAGCAGCAGCAGCAGCAGCAGCAAGGAGGAGCAGCTGCAGCAAGTAGCAGTAGCAGCAGCAAGGAGGAGCAGCTGCAGCAAGTAGCAGCAGTAGTAGCAGGGCAGTGCAGGCGGCAGAAGTACTGCAGCAGCAGTTCAGGCGCAGCAGTGTAGCAGCAGCAGCGATTGCAGCAGTAACACGGGCCGCGTGCGGGCCATGCATGGGCTGTAAGGGCTGCGTGCGGGCCTGGCGCGGGCTGTACGAGCTGCGTGCAGGCCTGGCGCGAGCTGTAAGGGCTGCGCGCGGGCCTGGCGCGGGCTGTACGGGCTGCGTGCGGGCCTGACGTGGGCTGTACGGGCTGCGCGACGGCCTGGCGCAGGCTGTACGGGCTTCGCGACGGGCCTACGCGGGCTGTAAGGGCTTCGTGACGGGCCTTCGCGGGCTGTACGGGCTGCGCGACGGCCTGACGTGGGCTGTACGGGCTGTTCTCGGGCCTACGCGGATTGTACGGGCTGCGTACGGCAGAAAGGGGCAGGGCAGTGCGAAACGCTGGGCAGGGCAGAAACTAACGGTCGGGTAGGTGAAAACGAATGTGCTGGGCCCTTAATTACGGTCCTAGCCAGGATCTCAAGTAGTTCAATTGTTTTGCAGTTGGTGAGGGGAGCTGGGCTGCGATTGGTTAGCGAGGTGAACAATCTGACGAGGTGTGAAGCGAGGGGTGCGAAGTAAAGACAAATCGCAAGTTCAGTCCGAACCAAGCAAGGCTCGGAAACTGGTTCGGTAACGAAGCTCCAATGCCTGCAATTTCTCGTCACACACAACAATCTCATGTACCAGCAAAATGTTTTGCATTTGCTCTAGGGGCAAAATCGTGGGTGTGCCGCACGCTCACTTTCCTAACCAGCCAGTCAATTCGCCTACAAAAATAGGGTAACAAGCGCTGCAAGTGTTTTGCAATTGAAGGCCAATTCTCTTACTTGAGATCCTGGCTTTAATACCATGTTAGAATACTAGGAGGGATGGTTGATTAGGTAAGAGGGAGGGGGTACAAGGATGTCGAGAGAGTTGGGTTGTACCCTCTAAGGTGTAACCCCTACACAACCTAGAGTAAGATGAACAGAACAATATGTTTTGACAGTCGTCATAGGGTTGCGAAGCTTTTTAAAATAAGAGTTGTAGAAAAGAACCTCTGATGCGCAAGTAATCCTCTGCAGTTGAAATGATGCCTATATCTCGAACCTATGAACATTCAGATACGCATTCAAATCCAATTGACTACGCTACCTGCCCTGCTTATTATCTTGCGTGACACATGTCAGACAGTTAGTTTTGCGACAAAGTTTGCATTTGTTAGGGTTTCATTTCTTCCTTTCTTCTTGCTGCTTCCTCTCACTCGCTTCCTCTTCCAATCAGAGGCTATGTTCTTGCGTAGTTTCTCTCTGGATCACACAGGTATGTCCGATTATTTCCTAGATTGCATTTTAGTTAGCTTGAGGAAGTATATAGTCGACTCCACATGGTTTCGGTTGGTTTCGTTTTCCAGTCATGGTCGTTTTTCTGGTCGTTTTTCCAAAGCACGTTTCTTTCCGCCTCCTTGACTAGTAGTCTGTTCTCCTCATGTATTTCTCCCCCGTTCATAGTTTTTGTTAGTCTTCACGCGTATTATATTCTCTACCTTCTCACCCCGATTCCTTTGGCTATCTATTTCCTTATCTACTTTTCTCCTTCTCTTTTGCGTTTCCGATTGCCGGTGCTTGTTACCGTGGCCGTAGAGTGCAACAGCGTCGTCATTCAGAGATGTAAAGCCGCCCGTGGTGCATTTTTTTCAGCTTTTCTGCCTCATAGCTAGTGTTTGGTTTACCTCAATGTTTTCCTTTCTTTACTGTTCCATCTATACGTCCTCAATCTTTGTTTCCTTACCCTATCTTACGTTTTTTCTAAAAAAAAAAAAGACATGAACGAAAGAGAGAAACAGAGATAGGGAGAAGGAGCGGGAGCATGGCATAGTTGATTGTTAAGAGAAAGAAAATAGCTGCTTCCCTTTCTTGATCCCTCCCTCCTTCACTCCATCCCTCCCTCCCTCCTTGACTAAACTTAATTTCTCGTGTCAAGTACTAATCTGCTTTATAGGCTGGAGCAGATCAGTACTTGGTTTGTAGGTTCTTTTTTGTTGTTTCTGTTAACTCGTGTTTTTCCTTCCGTTTTGCTTCGATTTCTGTTATTTTGTATTGTATTTGCATTTCGGTTTGGCGGTTTGTTTTTGCGTCGGTGATGCGCTGAATTCTCTTCTGCTCCTTTTTCACTTTCAATGTCATTTCTCTCCTGTCCTCCC